TTGTATATCCACTTCCATCAAAGCTTTAAAAAATTAATTGCTTTCTCCAGTCTTTTTTTTTTTTTTTTTTTTTTCAAATGTAACCATTACATTTACTATTCAGGAAATTTGATTTGGGGTTTAGAAGTCAAGCAAAATTTAATGTTAGAAAACCAATGCAAGTTTTTTACATTAATTTTATCTTCCAAAATCTTCTGGGTTTTGTGGTAGCATTGTGTCTTGCCATGTCTCTAGTACATGGAGACGGATGCCTACTTAACTTTTCTGTGGGTGAGTGAGAATAAAGACCTATAAAGTGAGATGTATTCAAGAAACAGGAAATCTATTTCTGTCACTGAATTAAGGTCTGACCCAGTGCAAGGTGCCTAGCAATGTGGTTTCTCTCCTTAGCGAACTAATTTGGTGATGGAGTTGTAGCAGGCAGTTTTGAGACACCGTCATGCCTCTTTGCTTGCCAAGACAGCATTCCTGATGCTGTATGGCTTTCTCCCAGTGAGGAAGGCTAGCAGTAAATGTGGGATGAATTCCCCAGGCTTCTCTGGGTGTCCTTTCCATCCTGGACTTTTTCCTGTCTTTTGTTACACAACTTTCTGTCCTCAGTCACTGTTGTTTTGTGCAAGCGCAGGCTGTTCAGCATTGACTACTGAATGTGCTGTTCCTGTTTCTGGCTTCCTGTGGCTCAGGGCAAGCAGGGAACGATGTTTCTGGCTCAGGAAATTGGCGTCTACGTTGACTGAAGTCTTGCATATGTCCCAGCCTGATCCCTGTTTCTGATGAGCACTGTCTGCGAGCTGTGTAATGAAACTGAGAAGCTCTAATTATGTGATAGTCCGCTAGTACTGAACTGTAAATGGCATCCTGACACTTTAGCAATGGAAGGCTGATTCTTTACGAAATTGGCTCCTGCAGTATCTCAGGCAAACAGAGCTGTAACTTTTTAATGACTTCTTGAAGACAGGTCATGGTTTTCTAATTATCTCAGTCTCTGAATATATGTAAGTATCATTCCATTCCTCTTTCAAAAGGTTTTACCCTGCGTTCTCCCGTATTGTAGAAACTGCTTAACGGTTCGGATTGGTGTGTCCTTGGCGTTTGTTTTAGTCATTGTAGACATAAATGATTTTTTACCCTTATTATTTGTATGCTATTTGACTACCAATAAATGAATTTGCAGCATTTCAGGTGGTATTTATTCATGACAGGATGCACAGTCTGACCTACTTTTCTGTGTGCTACCAGCAGTGAATATAACCCCTTGGAAGAGAAATGAGAAAACTGCCAGAAAGACTGTTATAAATGATTCACAGAAGACTGTATGATCGAATACTACTATTGAATAATACAGCAAAGCTGTATCAATGAATCTACTAAAAAATATAAAATTTGGTTTAAATAAATATATTGTGTGCTGTTCAGGAGGTGTGGAAAATATGAAATGTTTCTTTGATCAAATCCAAAATTAGAGGGGTTTTTGGTGTTACAAAATTATTTTCCATGCACTTAAATAGTGTGATTTTTAAAGTTATAAGCATCTTGTGGTTACCCTAAGAAGTCTTTGTATCGTGGCCATTCTACAAATAGAGAAAGTTTAATTTTTAAGAGAAATTTAAGAGAGAGTTTGATTTGTAAGGGCTTGCCTTTTTTTTTTTTTTGCCTTTTTTTTTTTTTTTTCCTTTTTTTTTTTTTTTTCCCCTTCTCTGATGGTCAATTCTGCCACATTTGTGCAAAAAAACCCCAAACCAGATAAAAAAAATCCCCTTTGTTTCCTCTCTGGTCCTGTAATACTGCAGATGCCTGTTCATTACTTTCTCACGCATTATACTTCCTTCAGGGAGCCTTCATCAAAGGTAATTTAAAAAGGCGTAAGCAGGAGGAGTAGTACTTTACTTTGTGAAAAGCTGCAGATTATTGGATATCTTGTGTATTCCTCTGTGTCACCATCTGAGAGGATGTTTGTTAAGCAGCGCGGCCAGTCTCCTTGTAAACTCTAGTTGAGTATGTGTGGAGAAAAAAGATGGTAAGATTGAAGATACTGGCATCTCTCTTCAGCCTTGCCCCTTCTACTTCAGTCTCTTACAGTGCTTGCAACTCAGGAATGTATGAAATAACTCATGAGTTATACTCAGGTGGTAAAAGAGACTGAAAAGACAAATATATCCAAAAAAACCCTGTTTCTCACTCTTCTGGAATTAACTAGACGACATCTTTGGGCACTTACGTTTTAGCCTTCATGATCTGCAGCTCCTGACTATCAGGAACATTTGACTTCCAAGCTGGATACCACAAAAGCTGAAAAAAGATCGTCCACCAAGCAGGTGTAGACTCTGAAGAGTGCATTTCATCCTGGAGATGGACAGAAATGTTGAAAAGCTGTAGGCTTGCAGTCAGGTAGAAATTATTAAATTTTTATTTATTAGTTGTATTGGTCCTTTACTTACAGACGTGTGGAAATGTTAGAAGTCTCAAACACATTAGTTAATACATTTTATCCAAGGTTAAGGGGGGAAAAAGATGACAACTGCTTTCACAGCAATGTTCTATACCGTTCCCTTGTTACGAGAGAAAAATACCACAAATCATTGTGAAAGGTTGGTTAAGTAGATTGCAGTTTGAAACTGGTGATTCTGCAATATGTGCTTGGCTATGGCTTTTTAATTAGCTTGGCTATGGCTTTTTAATTAGCAAGAAGACTGGCAAAATTTCTGCTTACCTTGCTGACCATACCAAGTGGAGAAAGAAGAACAGAATTTGAGTAGTGGCTACTTTGTCCTAATCTGAGAGCTCCAGAACTTTTAAATTACATGTCAGCTCTACAGATGTCTTTGCTCTCTTCTGGTGGATAATTGTTTGCTTAGTTTTACAGTTCTTGTGCATTATTGTACTGGAGCATCACTGCTCCTCAGAGTCAAATGTGTACATGTTCCCTCAGCTTTAGATGGATATTTAGTTTATCAAGTTCTAAAGATTTCTCTTAGGTGAACTAGAAAACTGAGGGCAGAATAGAATTTTATTTATAATGGCTAATGCAACTTTTGTGGTGTCTTTCCGATCTTTGCGAAGAACTTTATAAACATGGTTATTTACTGTTTTCCCTCAGGTAAGGTAGATGCTCATTTTGGTAGAGCTAAAGTCAAATTTCCGTTTTAATAGACCTATTTATAATTACAGAGTTATGTAATAATTCATGTTTGAGAGGACCTCAGCTTACCTAGTCCAACTTACTGATCAAAGCAGGGTTAGGTGTAAAGTCAGGCCACGTTGTTTATCTGGTTGAGTCTTTAAAAGCTCCAGAGATGGAAACCGTACAACATGTCTGGGCACCTTGCTCCACTGGTGGACTGTTCTCAATGGTGGAAAAGTTTTTCCTTGTATCAAATCTGATCCTCTCATTTCAACTTAAACCCATTGGCTCTTGTCCTCCCATCCTGCGCCGTTATGAAGAGTCCAGCTCCACCTCCTCGATGCCTCCCTGTAGGTTCTGTTAGGTCCTCCCAAAGCCATGTCTTCTCCAGGCTGAACAAGCCCTGGCTGTGCAGCCTCTGCTCGGAGGATGAGTGATCCGGTCCCTGCCAGCTTGGTTGCTCTCACCTGAACTTGCGTCTTTGTTGTATTGGGGAGCCCAAAGCCCCACAATATTCTGAATGTGGTCTAATGAGGGCTGCTTAGAGGGGGATGATCCCTTCCCTTGACCGACTGGCCATGCCCCTGCTAATGCAGCCCAGGAGGCTGGTAGTCCTCTCTGCTGCCCTTCCGCAGAGCCGCTCTAGCCCGGCAGTCCCCAGGCTGTGTCGTTGCAGGGGGGTTGTTTCGTTACAGGTGCAGGACTTTTCCCTCACTGAATTTCGTAAGGGTCCTGTTGGCCCAGCCTGCCTGGGTCCCTCTGGATGGCAGTCCTACACATGAGCATACCAGCTGGTGTCCCCAGAGTGGTGTAATCTGTGAACTTCATGAGTGTTCACTACTCCAGAGCATTAGTTAAGGCATTGAGCAGCACTGGTCCTGTGGTACGTCTTTGGATTGTGCAAGATCTATTTAAATAGTGACTTTCACTCTATCAACAAGGCTAAGTTTAATACATCAAAGTAGGATGGCCTGGCTGCTTGGCCTTTTCATCGGGAATTTCCTTGTGCCTGCTCTCTGAAGACCAGCCTTGTCCAGACATTTTTATTAGGAAAACCAAAGCGGGTGAGAGATCCATATAGCTACTGTCTCTCACTTGAAATTGTAGGTGCCAGTATATTACAGTTTGTAGAATGCTTCATTGGGATGGATAAATGTGTGGTGGAGTGGTTTGGGTGGAAAACAAAGAGCACCATGAGGTTTTGATTACATCGGAGTTCCTGATCTCTCAGAGATGCCTCTTGTGGGGTGTTTTGGTGTTTTTAAATAGTGTGACCAAGAGTACGATACAGGTGTAAGAAGAAGATTTATTCTTTTCATAAATGAGATGACTGATACACGATACCTGTGTACTCCACTCCATGCCTGAAATACTTGCGCCTTTCTCCTGTAATCTGTGAGCAATTTCTTAAAGGAGATGCAACTTTTGTCTACTTTTAGTTTTTATGCCTTCAAGTTCTAAGGTATCACTGAGTATTGCTGGCAAAACCAGTTCCAGAGTCTGACACCTCCACCTCAAGAACAGAACATATGTAAACAGTAAAACCTGTGCAACCACGGTTAAAGAAATAGCTGTTCAGAGGTGGCTTTTCTTGGGTTAAACTTGGGCAATTTCAGACGGATGGAGGTGCTAGTTCTCAGGAACTGAGCCTGGGAATGGGAGCCAAAAATCCTTATAAGCAGTTGGCATTGTCTACCTGCTCTTGCGATGAATGTACACAGCATAACAGCTTGATATTGTGTGGCCTTAAGCTTGTATTGTTTGATGATTATCCTTCCCTCTTTGGTTGAAAAACAAGTTTAAAACATTCAGTTACATCATTTGCTATTTAAATGTAATTTTTACTCTTTTTTTTTTTTTTTTCCATTTTCCAGTGACAATGACAAATATTGGAGAAAAAGGTAAGATTTTTATTAGCTGTTTGTAAGTGGAATTCATATATCAGGGTAGTGTAGTGGTTTACTAGTAGAATTGAGATACAGATTTAACCTCTTTTAAATAAATACAATTTTTTGTGTTCCTCAGCTCCTTTTATTCTTCTGCCATTCCTGAATGTTGCTTCAGCCATTCCAAACAGAGATGAGAAAAATTAGAACTTTTTACCATTCTTACTGGCTTTCTGAAGTGTCAACTAAAATAACGCTTATATTCTGGTTTTTAAACTTTTTTATTCATAACAAGGAAAGCTCTTGTAAAACTAGGACTTCTAAAGATGAGCAAGGTGTTTGTGTGGAGTGCAACATACTTAAATGGAAGGTGAACTTTTTCTGCAGTTTCTTTTTAGCCAGTGTCTTTCAAGAAACAGAATCCTTCGGATATGTAACCTTTTCAGAAGATAATAAAACTGCCTGATTAACTGTCGTTAGAGTTTCTACTCCGAGGCTGTAGCAAGTTTAGATTGCTTTTCCAGATGCTATTTTAATACTGCAGCACAACATGGAAGTGTAAAGTGTGGGGCTGCAGAGCTTTTGAAGGAAGGGGTTGGGGGTTAGGAGACAAACTGTATGCTTTTTATATTTGTGTAATTAATTCCAGCAGGTTTTTAAGTCCTTGGCAACTGCCTTACTTAGAAAAAGTGTTTACCAATTAAGAAACATTTGCTTGAAAAATTTTTTTACCGTTTGTGATCTCTCCCCTTCTGTGAGTGCATAAGAATATCTGCAAACTTCAGCACCTGCGGACTTTGAAGTAATTCCAGTTTCCTGCTGCTCCAAAGTGTGTGCAGGGGAGACGAGTGCGTTGTTAAGCATTGCTCACAAAGCACCTTAGAATTATCAGCAAAATGCATTGGGGAACATTACATTTCCTTATTTTTAGCTGCTCAAAGCCTTGGTGAGTTTCAGCCAGTTAGGAGAAATTTACCCTGGCTGCACTTCTGCCCTGAGTGTTTTGAGGGGTGAAAAGTGGACAAATGGGGCTCAGCCCTGCTACAGATTGCTGCAGATTTCCAGGCAGCTCTAGCTATGCTAGCTATTTCTTCATGGGTTGCCTTCAAGCAAGGGATATGCCATTTGGTTTGTTTTTTTTTTTTCCAGAAAAAGTGTAAAATAGAAGGATTTCTGCCCAGGAAGCTGCGGAGAGCTCTTCTTTTTGTCTGAAGGGAACTGAGGTTCTTATGTTGGACTCTCAACACCCACAGACACAGTGGAGAGCTGGGTAGCCTGGAGTCTCCATTGTGGTGCAGGGAAACCGATGGGTGGGTAACCGGGAGAAGTGACCAGTCAGGACCTGGACCAGATTGGAGAATGGAGGTGCAAGAGCAAACAAGAAGAGCTTATGTCTGATGCAGACTTGACTTGAAAGGGGAAACATAGGATAATGCCTTTAGGGCAAAATTTTGTCTTCCTCTAGTAGTCTTTTTTTTTTTTTTTTTTTTTTTTTAATATATGAAAAACGAATTTTGCTTATCAATCACAGTTACCATTTGTCTTACAACAGGAAAAATTAGGTGCAGATTAGTAAATACAGAGTGTACAGAACTGATGTAACGTGCCCTACCTTACCCTCACTATGCCATGAATATGCTGTTTAAGGAAATACTGGTTTTGTTTGAGTAAATCAGGAGTTTTCTAGAATTAATAGAAATGTTGTGATAACAATTAACAATGTGTGCTGTTCCTGCCAGATGCTTGTGCAATAACAAGATGGTCATTTAGTGTATTGTGCTTGATGTGGAGTCCAGTTCTATCACTTACTTATACTGATGAGATTTTTTTCAGTTTATAGGCATGGCATATGGCTCTTTTCCCCTGTCATCCCAAAGCTTTGTACAGTGTTGCTTCTCAGATTTTGTTAGCTTTTGTTTATTATTTTTTAACTGCCTAGTGCATAAGAATTGTGTTGCTGCTTTTTTGAGTAAACAAACTTTGACACCAGAAACAGTTATTCAGCATTACTTTTGAGGCAAAATGACAAAAAAACTAGAACGTGCTGCACTACTGTTCCTGCATTTATACACACCGTCTTGCATGTGTTACGGAAAATTCTCTAGCACTGAATAGCAATATATATATAAAAACATGGGCTAACCATACTGTGGCAGTATTTCAGTTTGTGTAGTGAAAGTACACAAGTTTCCCTTTAGGATGTTTTTTGATAGTCTTATGAATTTATAGAAGTTGTATAAAGACTATTTGACTGTGTAGCTTCCATATAACCTTGAACGCTCTATGATCTGAGTTCATCTGTACAGCAGGGAAATAATATTTTTCACTATTGCTGTCCTAGCTCTCCTTTATTTGCTGCTTCTCTGCATGAGAAAGAAAAATCCAAGGAGATACTCTTTCTTGTGCATTTGAGCAAGTTAATCATGGGATACAAGTTTTTGATTTACTGTTTACTGTAGTGAATTGCTTAGCACAGTGAGAGCTTTTAAATGGAAACACCTATCCGTTCATGGCAGGCTCTTTGGAAGAGTTAATATTACCTTTTGTATTCTAGGAAAGCAACTCAGCATGGTAAACATTGGCTGGCCTCTATTAAAACAATCTAAGAATAAATCACTATCTGTGAAGAATATAAAGTAGTGAATGAACATTTGAATTTAAAGAACCTGCAGGGTTTTAAAATCCACCCTACATCCTCCCTCCTAAAAATCTAGCAAAACAAATTAACTGGTTATGGTTACTACTCAAGTATCATATGCATATCCCCTTACTTTAGACATTGTTTAGGTAGCTATACTTGCTTTTGGGGGGTTTTGGGTTTTTTTGTTTGGGGTTTTTTTTTTTTTTTTGTATGGCTAGCAGTCTCCCTACATGGTTTATAAAGCTAGAAAGCAGAAATGCATCAGTTATTTAAAGGATTTAACAAATACATAAAGAGAGGGTGCTTGCTAAATAATTATGGGGCTCTATTAGGCTGTTAACCATTCCCCTCAAACTTTTTTAATATATGTAGCCTGTATTGTAACTTTCCCCACACAGTCTGTATTTGTCTCATGTAAAGTTGTAGTGCAATGTTCTTGTTGCAAAGCTTTTGCAGAGCCTCTGTATTTGCATCTGTTAGAGTAACTAACTGTGATACGTACAGCATCCGTTTGTAAGTACTATAATACCACTGGTCTGTATGTATTAATTCTGTTCCTTTTTGATTTTAGTTGTGTGCCTGGTTGCTTACCACATATTTTTCATGCTGTTCGTCTGGTCATATTGGAAAACAATCTTTACGCTACCAATGAATCCTTCAAAAGAAGTAAGATAAACTTAACTTTTGTTTCTGAAATAGCCTAGTCAAATGCCTGATTTTGTAGTATTTGAATAACTTAGACTCTGATCTCGTGTAGTTTTACACTGTGTAGAAAAATACACATGGTAGTTACAGCTTCTTAATAGGAGTAAGTCAGATTGCAAACAGCATAATGACCAAGATAAAAAAAAATTACACCTTCTCTAAGTTGTAAAGGTTATTTAATAGATTTTCAAATTTAGATAATTATGAAATTAAGAAGAAAAAAACCTCTCCACTTGAAAAATATTAGTTGTTTGTACTAGCAGCTTAAATCTTTGCATGGGAATATAATACTTTTATGTGGGCAAAAAAATTACTTCCCTGTGTTTAAGATTTCTATTGCATGTCAGCATCTATCTGTTGTCCTCTGAATTAAAGCTTCTTCCCCATCTGTTTTGATATGAAGGAACTTGGGAGTTGTGGCATGTGCACACAACAGCTAAGCTGATGTTGGGAAGCCAGGGCTGGCTGAGCAGGAAGGGAGCTAGTACAGAAGAGCTGCATGGAAAAGAAGTCTGAGTACTCCATGTCTAAGTCCAGCTAGTACACTAGTGTTAAAGAAGAGGGATCCACTTGTCTTGGAGAATATTAAGATACAAAACCATGTTCATTATGATGTAGCCTCAAGATGATTGCTTTTAGTACTGTAATGGGGTTTTTTTAATTAATTTCACATTCTTTCCAACATGTTAAAAAAAAAAAAAAAAAGAGAGAAAACTGTCAGTAGCCTTGATGAAAATCCTCCCTTCCTCCCTATGCAGCTTGGTACCACCAGCACAACATTTGACCTCTTCCATCCTGTCTTTATACAGAAACCCCACAGTCCTCAGTAGGTGCTATGTTACACAACCTCTGAGGTCAAGGGGAGTCGTGCTATGGCTGCTCTGGAGTTTGAAATGTCCACAGAGCCAATACTTGTTTCAGCATAGACTCATAACTCTAGCTCATATAACTAGCATGCCAACACAAAATAAATAGCTTGTGATTTCTGCTGTCTGTTGTGCAGAGGTTCTTTTCTGAATAGTTTTCATTCACTAATGAGAGATGTAATTGTGGAAACAAGTAGATAATTCGAAGTAATTGGCATTTTCCTTGAATTTCACACTGCAGTCTTTACTACAGCTTGGGATGGAGAAGAGCGAAATAAATTAAGAACCTATTTCATTTGGTAATTACATAGCAAAATATATGCGTGTATATGGTGACTGTAGCGATAATTAGAAGGGTTTTCAAATCACTGGGCTGATGCCAATAAAAGACTTAGAAAACATTTTGACAAATCCTTAGTAATTATAGTGGAATTCCAAAGCCATCATACAATGCTACTGGAGAGCTTCAAACGGGATATTAAAATACTGAAGTCAGGTAATAGATAGCAATGTGTGGTGTTTCTGTGTTCTTTGAATTTATATAATGTTGCTGGTAGTGACATCTTTGTTGTTCCATGTCTTTCTCCTATTCTACTAGAGCAGTATTTTTAAAATTTAATTAGGGTATTGTGTAATGTTAAGTTACTGCTTGTCTTCTAGTTTTTAGGATGAAGTCTGTAAATGTAAAAGGATGTATTTTCAACATAACTGGACTGACTTATCAACTATAGCAAGCAGTTGTTTGAAGACTGAAAAACAGATAAAGCTTTTGTGGGTTTTTTTCCTCATAAATACTGCCGCTGGTGCAAACCACACAGCCTGTGTATTTATTTTTAAGCTTATTTCAACTTCTTAGACTATGAAAATCACTAAAGTTCTGCTTCAGTTTCTCTTTAAGAGACTGAGGGACTTCATTTTAGTGTGTGCCAATCTACCTGCGTGTACCAGCTATATACCTGCATGAAGGTGGGAGAAGATGGTTTTCCAGGCAGGATGGTTTTTTAGACATAGGACTACTCTGAGAAGCAATACAAAATGATGGAGCAATAGCTCTGTGTACATCAAACAGGAAGCATTAAAAATAAAAGTATTCTGAACCAAGTTTCTGCAGTGAGAAATCCTATGTATCCCAATGTAAATCAATTCGGGTGTTGTCAACAGTGTATTCTTGCTGGGGAAGAAGTGAAAGGTGACTTGAGAAACTCATGCTAAACATGAACCTCCAGGTTCTGCTGGAAGATTGTGAGCTTTATCAGGAAGGTAGAGTGGTGCCTTCTCTGTGGAGGTGAGAATAGGCTCTTAACTGTATATTTCTGTCTGCTTTCTTAGTTGTACATGCATCACTTCCATTCAGGAAAAGAGTTAATGTTGTTGCAATGACTAGCCTTTCTGTAGACGTAAATGCTATGCAGAGGGCTTCTGTTTCTAGTACAGGTTAGAGACAGCCACTCTTCCTGCCAAATACGGACTTCTTTTCAGGGGGGATTTTGTACCCTGTTTCTCTGATAGAGACGCCAAAGACATTGGCATCTGCCAATTTCTAGAAGCTACAGCGACAAAGTTGACTATGTTGCTGTTTTGCAGAGGGCTTTCAAGTATAAGAAATTTGGATAAGAGATTCTGCTATTACTAGTACCTTATTTTCTTTTGGTTAAAGACTGACATCCCTAGCTTATTTGTAGTCACTAGCTAATATTAGTGTTACAGAAGAAAATTAACTGACCTTTTAAAGGGATGGTAAGCTCTTGGTCCTCCTCTTGAAGAGTGTCACTTAGTAGTTCTGGAAGCATTCAGCATTGCATCAATACCAAATCAGAAATAATTTTAATTTTGTCTTCAGTTGCCATGACTAATTTAGTGGTCTTCGGAACACTGGGTTGTTTGCTGTAATACCTTGTACGTGCTGCTAATCCATCTTTATATAATGAGTATTTATACATCTCTACAGATACTTATTTCACTTGATGGTAACGTATCTTTGATTTTAAAAATCATTCCAGTTTCATCTGTCATATTCAGACAAGGAATCCCTAGAGAGAGAGCCTAGAGGTGAATCCCAGCAAGAAGTCTTACGACGGGCAGCCAAGGATCTTCCTATCTATACACGGACAATGTCTGGAGGTAAATAGGTGTTCAGGAGACCACTGAAGGCAGGTGTCTTGATGTACTACCTAAACTAATTAAAAAATTCCAAAGGTTTGGATTGTAGGGAAGAACTGCTTTTCATACTTCATAAAGTATCAGTGACCCAAGAACTTAACTTTAATGTAGCTTTATGCAGCTACATTTATTCAGTGGAAAGGAAATTTAGGATTTTAAAGTGGATTAGCAATGCCTTGCTAAATGTTTGCAAACTGACATCAACAAATAGCTTGGATAACAAACTGCAGAAGAAGCTGTAGCAGTCTTTAACTGCATAGAGTTCTTCCATAGGTTAAAAATAATAATAAATTAATCACTGTCTGCATGTCATGTATAGCTAGATAGATCACAGCAAGAAACTGTTACTGTTTTACTTGCTGGTTGTTCAGTTGCAAGAACAAAAGTTCTTCCAAACTAAGAGTTAACCTTAACCTACTGATGTTGTAACTTTGTGAATGCTGGCTAGCTAAGCAAATCCAAGAGATAATCTCATATAGTAAATCAAAGCTGTTAGAATAATAGCTTAAAATAGCTATATTGTTGAACAGTCTTTAAAGGTTTTCCAGTCTAGTTGAGGGCTTTGTGAGTTTTGTTGGTTCATTGGTTGTTTTGCAGAGCTGAGAGGTTTGGAAGAAAAAGCCCTGATTAGCATGATTAGCAGAGATTGCAAAAACCGAGCTTTTTGGATTCACTCTGCTAGATTCAGCATTGCAAGTACTTAAAGAATGCTTAAATATTTGCACCTGCTTCTGATCATGCTGAAATGCTTTCCTGGGGGTTCTGCTGGGCTGAACTGCTAGTATTTACTTTTGCGCAGACTTCAGGAATCAAAATGTGTAACTGTACATTGAGATCTAATCTTGGAACTTTTTTCTTTAGCAATCAGGTACTGTGACAGATGCCATCTTGTAAAACCAGATCGTTGCCATCACTGTTCTGTATGCGACAAGTAAGAAAAATTTTTAAAAAGCAGTTTTCTGAATTAATGGATCTTTTTTTTGACACAGAAGCTTTTGTTTTTTCATGCGTAGATTTTTCAGGTTTAATGTTTTGGGATTTTTTCAGATTTATTTTTTGTTTACTTGTTTTTAAGGAAGTCTGTAACTTACTCTAATTCATTTGAGGGCTTTCTTGATGCCAACATGGATCACGTGGTGTTATACATTCTTTACATAACGGTTAAAAATTATTAATATTAATAAAGAACTTTCCTTAAGAATGTAACCAAAAATAGCTGATAAACAAAAATTTGCTTCTTTTGTTAGAATCTGAATAAAGATCACTACCCTTCTCAATCTAATCATGATGTCACTTACATCTTATCCGAGGTAATAAACTTAATATCCTATTTTTCAATGGATAACTTGCAGGTTATTTTTGTTTTTAAAAAACCAACCCCTAGCATCCCTTATTTCTAACTGAAGCCATAAAATAAAGTTTTTGTTTGTCTAACACAAAAGGAAGTTCACCTCTCTATTCCCCAGAAATCTAACTGCTTTCTAATTTAATCTTTCTTTTGGCTATTCTCTCTGACCTTTCTCCCTTTAGCCTGGATGTCTGTGTGTTTCCCCACTCTTGCCCCTAGTGATTTGAATTTCTGACTTTAAGAGAAGGGGCTTCCTCAAAGGTTGATTTATTCTTAGCTTTAAGGCTGTTCCAAATGCTCTTCAGCTGATAATGCATCAAACCTTCCAATGTAATTGTGAGGCAGAGAAGACTTTCCATTTTGTCCAGCAAAACATCAGAGGCACTGAAAGAGTAACTGAGTTGAGGCAGGAAGAGGATCTTGGTTGTGTTGTATGGGATGGTGGTTGCCATGTGAGATAGGAACATTCTTGTATCTGAGCAGAGTGGATCAAAAGGTGACCTGTGTTATCCTATGAAATGTGAGTGAAATTTGCAGAATGCTGTTAGTTAATAATATTTTGCAGAATACCTTAATTTTGTTCTTACCTTGTCAAAATTCACTTGCTTCAACTACATCTGATTTCTTGTGCATGCTTTATTAATGGAGAGTGATTAATTGCAAAAATATTTGGGATTTTTCATGCAAGGTGAGTTCTTGAAAACCTTGTATATATTTCTATAAAAGCAGATCAAATACTTTGAAACATATTTAGTTTTATCATTAAGTATGTAATAGTTGAATGAGCCCAGTTTCTAAGGCTCTGTCAGAGAATAAACAATAGTTGAAAAACCGATTCAGAACGAGGACCGAATCCTAAAGTTGAAGTTGTATCTTGGATTTTCTTAAATCATGAAGCTCTTGACAGAACAAGTGTTTTGAGCTTGGGTTACCTACTGTTTACTTGTAGGTAAACTGTATTATGTGAACTTAAATAGATATCTTTGTTAAATAGATTAGATAAACGATAGTACATATGGGTAATTCTTAACCTGTATGTGAATAATTTAAATCTGACACGTAACTGTGTTTCTGACTTATTTTTTCTTTTGCCTTTTGCGATTCTTGGAATTCTGTTGGGGTTTTTTTAAGATGCATTTTGAAAATGGATCATCATTGCCCTTGGTGAGTGTACTGTTGGCTTTATTTTCTTACTTTCTGATTTGGTAAAATAAACTCTTGAGGGACCTGCTATGAAGGTGATGCTTCACTATTCTAGAGTTAGCTGCTTATGTGAAGTTAGTGGTTTTGCAGGAACATTGGAGTTATTTACTGTATGTCATCTTTTCCTGGTTGCGAGGTGAGGAAAGAAGTTCATACATCATTTTTCTTAGACCTTTGTGTTAGGTAACTCCATGTTTTTACAGTTAGGAGTAGGTAGGCTCTTCTAGTCAGTAAGAAAACTTCTTTTAAGAATTGCATCTTTTCTTTGTGGACTTTGAGTATTACTGTGGCTTGGTTGCATTGAATGATTAAATACTAACCTAGCTTAAAACCCAAAGGGAAGGGCTGTGCCTTGTTCCCCTTATGGAAGCTCCCAGGACAGCTTGAGTGGGCTTGCCAGAAACAGCAAGATAGCTTTTCTGGTTTTATTGGTTCTTTGTTCCTTTTCATTTTTTCTCGCCTCTCCCTCCCACCCTCCCTCCTTTTGCTGCCATGTCGGCCTGCACAGTAGTTTTTCCTCTTTTCTCAGCAGCCCTTGGAACCAGTGGGGAGGCAGGATGTGTAATTAATTTTATGTCAGTTTGGCAGGTATCTCATGGAAATAATTAAAGATAATTGTTTAGTAAGATCCAAGTTCAGAGTGGTAGATGGCAGTTCTTCGCCATATGAAACCGATCAGAAAAGAATCTCCTGCATTGGACAAACTGAATGGTAGATGGTTATAAGCAGCTCGTTTGACCTTCTAAAATCAAATTCCTGGGTAGAGGAGACTCCGTCCTGGGAGAGGAAGGGGTGCTGGGCTCCTGCTGTTTGTCTTGATCGTGATTACAGCCTCTGACATAATGCAATATGATTTAAGAATCCCCCCTTATTTTGCAGCTGTGTGTAGATACAATTGAAAGAAATATTTAACAATATATGGTGGAGTTACTTCCTACATATTTTGTTGCTGTAGGGGTGTCAGTATGTGAAACGTGATGATGCTTAGTCTTAGTAGTGTGCTTCTTAAAAAACAAACAAACAAACCATAAACAGATAAAACCATTGAGTTTGGAACAAATTTCTTGTAAGAAAGAAGGCTATTTCCTTTTTTCAGCCTTCTTATAGCTGTCTTGTAGAAAGCTATAAGAAAAATAGCTGTCAGGCTATTCTTGACAAAGTATCAGTGAAAAGTCTCAATATTACTGTTATTATTCAGTATTATACACACTTCTCATAAGCTTTATGGTCTATTGGGGATTGTTTGAGTTGTCCTGCCTTGGGGTAGTACATGAAAATGTCCTTTATGTAAACTTCAATTTCAGAATAAAAATCCATTGCATCAAATAGCAAATCATAAACTGAGTACTTAAGGGTTGTATAACAGGGCAGCAAAGTTGTATTTCACTAGGGCATAGACTTCTAGAAAAATAAACTATTTTCCTCTCAGTAGCATTTGCTTATTTTGCCTGTTTGCAAACTCTTCATATCCAAACAACATAAACATACTCAGTTTGAGAGAGTATTTACATTGCTTGTTGTTTTTAATTTAATAAACAATGGGTGCAAAAAGAAAAAATAGAAATGGAGAAGGTACTTGAAAGACATGTAATGCTTCTTGATGGAGAATTGTTCCTTTTGTACTCCAAGTAACAGAAATACACTAGAAAAAGAGGTATTGTCTTGCTTCTTTTTTTCCTAATTTGAGTAGATGTTCACAGTTCCTTGCTCACCCTGGAAAAAAAAATAACTATGTGGAAGTGATAAGAGAGTTTGGAAATACTGCGCAGGTGCTGATCGACTTTATAGCCTCCTTTAAAGACCCATGTTCAAGGGTTCCTTGGGAAATACCATATGGCTATTTTGCCAACAAAAGTAAGGGTGCAAAACAATATAATGGGTGGGGTTTAGTCCCCCTGCACATATCATTAGGTCCTGCTTTGCGTTGGGGTTTTTTGGTGGGAAAGAAGGAGAAAGAACCGATGTGATGGTTTAGGAAGAGCAGGGAAACAGCAATGGGAATTACTACTGTTTTAATATTCTGCTAGGAGAAGGGTTTCTGGAGAGAGGACAGGTAAAAATAACCTAGGGAAAGTAAGATGAAGCGTTTGGAAGGCAGAGGTAGTAAGATGGTAGTCGTATCCTAGCCCCAGGTCAGCTGTCTTCTGCTTTGGGGGAGGCTTTGTTTTGGCTGTCACTCCTGGGCTAATGGAAGTGCTGTGATAAACGGAAGTATTTAGTGCTAATTGTTCTCCAGCTCCTCTAAAAGGTTTAAGTGATGCAGAAATAAAAGCAAAGTGGTGCAGAAATACCAGCATTGTGATTTCTATGCTAGTGCTTCTGCTACTCGTACTATATATAGGTGGAGCTGCAGGGAGGAATGTGATGGCTTGAGGCATCACCGAACATGTAGTTTGTATATAACTACTCCAATACTAACAAGGCGCATTAGGAACACCTTAGGAATCATTTGAAACACCTCCCTTTGTCTTTTGAGTCATCTGAAAAGAATTTAGCATCTCCTTAATTCTGTGATGCTTTTTGTTAACTGGGTTGCATCACCTTCAGTGCCTTGTGAGTTATTTCTTTGCTTGGCATTTTCAGTAAACTAACTCTTAAGACAGAAAGGATGTACCTTCTTTTTGTACTTAAAAGTTAAGTGTTTTAAATGTTACCCGTAATCCAGATTGTTACCCTGGGCTGTTCTGTGTGAATGTTTCACTGCAATAGCACACTATTATTTAGCCAGTTGTCGGTACATTTATGAGTTTTCCTCAAAAATGTTAGACTTCAAAACCAACCACCGTTCTTGGGTTTTATGATTTGATACTACGTGTTCAAACAGTACAATTAGAAATCCTTGGTGTTTACTTTGTCTTCAATCTTCTGATGAACAATTCTCTTCCAGTCAGAACTCCTCACTCTGGGGCTTTGTCAAAAATTGAAGGGAGTGGAATAATTTATGAAAGTTTATTTTAATGTGTCTACCATGTGCAGTAGTGGAAAAGAAAGAGAAAGAAATCTGTCTTTGGTTCAAGAAATTTCATCTTTGGGGAATAGCATTTCACTCGATATTTCTTTTCTCACAGTAAACAGTGTCATAAAGTGAAAACTGTCCTAAAATAAATACCATGAAAGGAAAACAGGGTTATCATAGAAACCTTGAATCTGAATTGCTTGTGGTTTGTCATGGAATTGCTTACTTTGATATATTTAATGAAAAAGAACATTTCACTGTGGAGAACTGTAAATTTACTTTCCAATAAGAATCATTATGAGCTTAGAAACAAATCTTCTGGTTTTTTTAATTAGAACAATCTGTTCTGAGTCCTTCTTAACTGTAGTTCATACAGACGCTTAGCTATTGCTGCATGTTTAAACAGTGATGCTAAATATAATGTTTGGCCAAGGTGTTGTTTTGTACATGAAACAAACCCTCCATCCACCCTGAGGATGGATAACTAGTGTACAGTGAAAGTTTATTTGGTATTTTAAGATTTTACCCTATTCTGAAGACCATGTGTCCTGCCATTACCCTCACTGTCTCCCTAAAGAATAGAATAGTTGCAATAACTTGTCCTGTACTTCTAGAAGCTAAAGTTGAGGCTTTCCATGTGTTCTTATTTTTTGAGAATTCTTTTTCAGCATACAAGTGCTTTCATGGATGTAGCGTTCTCTTAATTAGCTGATCTTTCTGACAGCAATATAGATTAGTTAAAGAAGGTATGGAACTTTTTTTTTTAAACTCATGGTGGAGAGTTATGTCAAAGTTAGTGCAATGATAACTTACTTTGGTTATCTTCCTAATGCAACCAAATAAAAGAAAGAGGAAGATGTTTGCCAATAAACTGTCTGTGGGCAGCACTCCAATATTTTTCATTTGGTGGATATAATATTATTACATGTTTAGTAGAGCTCTAAAATTTGTAATAGTTAACGTATTACCTCTAATAGGAAGCTGCAGTACTCTCGTCGTGTCTCCCTGATGATAGTCTATACTACTGCTCATTATGTATAAATTCCTTACAAATGGGAAACAGGTGAACTTGAAGCCCATAAATAAAAATTATAAAATGAGGTTTATTTTAACATTTGGATGTGTATTTACATGTTCCTGATCTCTCTTATTTGCTGTCGTGTTGTCACTGATTTGGAACATTTTCTGTTTATTCAACAGTAGTATTTCTCTTGTTATTTTATATGAATGTAAATATTTTTAGGAATCTCCTATGAATACTCTTAAGTTTGAGAATCTTAACTAAGAAGTTTTGGTATGTAGTATGATTAACGAAGGAGGATGTGGATTAAATGAGACTGCTTTTATTCTCACAAAATTCAGTTGAGATTCAAATTCTTGGCTTGTAACTGTCCCAGCTGTTATGTGCAGTGTGCGTAATGGTAAAACACGGATACTTAAACTTACCTACAGACTAAAAAAGTAGCTGTAACTGCAGTCACATTTACATCAGATGTGCTGGGAACAGATTTCATAGCATAAGTGAAAATTCAGTTTCAGTACGCTGTTGAAAGTGATTATTAGCTGGTAAAGTTCTTTGGGTTTTTTGTGGTGGTTTGGTTTTGATTTTGGTTAGAATTACTACACTGACTTGGGAGTTGAAGCTAAATACATTGCAGTAGCTTGAGGCACCAGAGATAGGAAGCAAAACTTGGTTTACATGCTGATACTAACTTTTTTAGAGTAAGTTCATTTAATTTTAAATTGGATTAAAACAAAGAAAATAACTTTCATTAAATGCCATTTTTACTTTTACTTTTTTTGTTATCAGGGTGAACAACTGTGTAGGATTCTCCAATTACAAGTTTTTTCTTCTCTTCTTGGCTTACTCGCTACTGTATTGCCTTTTCATTGCTGCAACGGATTTACAGTATTTTATCAAGTTTTGGACAGTGAGTACCCTAATCTACATACTGGCTTTAAGTGTGTGAAGTTACCACTATGTGAGAAGTTTAAGATTCTGAAGCATTACATTGTGATCTAATATGAAGTACAAAAGTTTATCTGATAATCATAGCCCTCTGTTTTTTCTGTTTATTATAGTTTATGAAATTTCACATATTTCTTCATTATTTTGAAGCTGCATAGAACAACTATGCAATTATTTAGAAAACATTTTACAAAGGAATTTATATTATAGATAGACTTTTGTTCACTTCCTTTAATGCTGTGCTATGAAAACGCTTCAGAGAAATTTTCTAGTATTTTAGTTATGATTATCTGGATTTACAACTTAGGATATTACCTTCTTAGATTTGCAATATTTATGCTGTAATGTAAGTATTCTGAAAAGGCTAATTAAACAAGATAATTTTTGTAAAGATAAATTATTCTTCACTAAAAGACACTTCAAAGTTCAGATCCGAATTTCAGGTTCTTCTCAGCTTTTATGCTTTTTCAAGAAAGGGCCTGTTTCTTTAACTTGAATGCTGTCAGCAACCTAATTGCATGGCCGTCTGTACATAGAAGGCATGTAATTCATTTATTCAGACTCTTGTTGTGTGGTATGTTTGTGTCTGCACTGAATTTAATTTGGCTGAATAGAGGATTATTAATAATCAAATTAAACAGCTATTTCTGCAATTCTAACAGCATAATTTTTTTAAATTTATTTTTAGAATGGCCTTCCTGATACTCAAGCGAAGTTCCACATCATGTTTTTGTTCTTTGCCGCAGCTATGTTTTCTGTCAGCCTGTCTTCTCTCTTTGGGTATCACTGTTGGCTTGTGAGCAAGAATAAGTCTACATTAGGTAAGTAGATGTAATGCTTCTGTGTTTGACAGAAAAAAAAATAAATATATATTTTATGTATGGGGTTAACAGAAAAAGCAGGCAATCCTACACAGGTTCCTTGGGTCCTGGTTAGAAGTGCCCAGATCTGGCAGTGTCCAGTACTGACTCCCCGCTACTGCTCCCTGGAAATTCTGACTCTTTTCCTCTTGCCCCAAGGGGCCAGGCTATTAATGAACTTATCTTCCTCCTGCCGCTTCCTGCCATCCACAGCTTGTTAACTGAAACTGAATAAACTAAAAAAAAAAAAAACCCCCAAAAAATTAAAAAACTGAGATCACTTTCCAGTAAATGCTTGACACACTGATGCGTGCTTGTGTAAGTGCTTCTCGTTTGGCATTCCCAGCCCCCAGGTAAGAGTCCTCTGATGTGGTGTCTCAATCAGGACAGTGGCTTCAGCGCTTGGTTCCCACCCTTGCCCCCTGCAGAACCAAAGTTCCTCCATTCAGTTCAGCTACAATTTTGTTTAAAAGCTCTGAAAGATGTAGTTATTCATTCCAAAACTTTGCCTGTACTGGAGGTGAGGAAAAAAAAATCTGGAAGGCAGGCAGATTGTGGCCCTACTGTTGTTAGTTTTGATCAACATGAATGAGCGCAAAGAGCTAATGTCAGAGAATGGTCTGATAGAGAATAACAGCCTTTAAGGTAGTGCTTCTATATTGAGTAGTAAGTGAACAGGGAAATGTGAAGGGCAGTTTCACAGTTGAGAGTCCTGCCTACCACATAATTTTAGATGCATAGAAGGGGCTCTGTGTTATGAATTAATTTTTACAACCTCAAAGAAGATGGCCTGTGCCTCTGCTGTGGGACAGTATATATAACTACATTGAATATCAGCATTAAACCAGGATTTCCTACCACTTGGATGCATGTTTGTCTGGTTACAGGTCTTAATGAACAAATAAATGAACAAATAAATGAATAAATAAATGAATAAATAAATGGAGGTGCAGAAGATTTGTCTGCCTGTTCTATACTAGATCCTGGACTGTAATAATACCAATTTGCAATATATTCATTAAAGTTTCTAAATTTCTAAATGCTTTTCCGTTGATATAAACTGAATTAGAGTAAGCCAATGAGTTGATCTGTTTTTTCCAGTTCTCTTGGGATTTACAATTAATGGAAAACTTTGAATACATATCAGTGGAAGAAAGCTTATTTATTTCAAGATTCTCTAGGGTTTATGGGTTTCTTCAGTATTCTGAAAAATCACCTACTTAGAAATTAGTATTGGAAAAAATTTGTTAGCTCTAGTTATAAGTGGAAAAAAGCTTTATTAATGATGCTTAAATGAACAGAAATAATTATGTATTCTGTTCATAAACTGTTCTTAGTATTGTAGTGGAATAAAAAATTGCTAAAAATTTGTTCAAAGGTAACCATAATGCAGTACACTTCTAATTCAACATTTCATGGTTTTGAAACAAATTGAATTCCACGCAGATAATATACCATGTTTTCTGTACACTTAAGCTACTCTTTGTCTCTTCTTCCCATTTTACTTTGGGAAATTGCTCAGTCTGTGAAACTGAACATGCAATAGTTCGGTAATGAAGCCATGACAGCTTTAAGTGTCACTGTGCTTAAATCATTCTGGGAGCTGTTTTCCTGGCCTAACATGGGCATCTAAAAAGTTATCTCGCTTTTCCCTTCCCCCTTCTTTAAAACACCTTGCAACTAATGCATACTGTGTGTTGAAGGTCATTTCCAGCAGTTCATAGCTAAGGATTTACTGCAGAAGGATGATTTCTGCATGGTTTGTGTGAGCTGTGCTGTCAGGACATCAGGACATGGTTTGCCTACTATATATAGCCAATTAAGGAAATTAAATGGCTATCAGTCACTTGGTGGAAAGTGAATGAGTTTTCTGCTTCAGGCACTTTGCAACACTTCAAGCTATATATAGCTCTCTTCTCTAGAAATTTAGGTTGGACGTCCATGGGGAATAATCTGGAGCTACGAGTAAAGCTCTTTCTTTATGCAGCTGTAAAAACACATAATATTTTCATACCCCAGGGTGTGAAAGGCTAGTTTTACTACTAAAGTAGGTTGAGCTTTTCTTCTTTTCCATTACTCTTTCCATAGTAAACCCTTGTTTATATTTTTCTTTCTTGAATACTCTCTGTGGTATAGTCAGGTGCTGAAATCTTCATATAACTTCTCAAGCCTTCTTAAAAAATTAGTTCCTTACTCTTGCTTGCCTTGATTAGGGGGGAGGGTGAAGGAGATTTCCACCCTTCCTCAGCCATAGGGCTTCTGCTGCACACCCAGTGACTCTGTAGCACTGACTTGGACCCCCTTCATGAGTGGACTAGCTTTCTCAGTACAGCCTTTCCTCTTGGATGATGGGGTCATCAGTGCAGTTGCCTAAATACCAGTGTGAAACTTAAACATGCTATGTTGTGAAGAGATCTAATTATTTTTTTTCTTTTAAGAGGTATTCAGAGCTCCCATATTTCGTCATAGAACAGACAAGAATGGCTTTAGCTTGGGCTTCAGCAAAAACCTAAGGCAGGTGTTTGGTGATGAGAAGAAATACTGGTTGCTGCCTGTGTTTTCAAGGTATGCTCAGTTTTTATTGTTTCATTTGTTGAAATTGTTGAATAATCAGGATCCACAGGGTTTGGGGGGTGGTTAGTTTTTTGAAATAACATATAGTAACATTGACTTTAGAAAAAAATGTTCTTTGAAGGGTTTTTTTGTACGTATGACACTAATTCTGAGTTTTTCAGTCTAGGGGATGGTTGCTCCTTCCCAACTTGCCTTGTTAATCAGGATCCTGAACAAGCTTCCACACCTGGTGGTCTTAATTCAACATCCAAAAAGTAATCTGTTTTTTGTTACTCATTTCAAATAGTTGATATGCCGTATTTTCCTGTACATGTACAAATAGAACGATGTTTAAGATACTTAAAAGTGGTAAGCAAATGAAGAGTGTCCTGTTAATAAATACAAGTAAGATTTTAAACAGCTAAGCTGTAATTCAGCTAATCCTCAGATTTATATTTAAATTTATGGAAATAAGGTGGGTTTTTTTCCACCCGATATGCTTTGTCTCGATTCGGTGGCATCTCAGGACCTGATTTTTCCACACCTGCCTAATAGTTGGTATCAGCAACATTCAGTTCTGCATACATACAAGATGGTTAGTCTGCCTGTGATATGGATGCGTTGCCTTGCAAGACTTTTGTGGGAGGCCTGCTTCTTCATATCTGGTGAAAGATACTTCGCATAAGGGAATCCCACCTTCAGCACTTGTGCCAAAGCACAGGAAGCTACATATTCGTAGAGTTATAGAACTGTTTAGGTTGGAAAAGATCTTTATGATCATTGAGTCCAACTGTTAACCTAGCACTGCCAAGTCCACCCTTAAAGCATGTCCCTAAGCACCACATCTACACATCTTTTAAACACCTCCAGGGTTGGTGACTCCACCATCTCCCTGGGCAGCCTGTCCAATGCTCGATAACTCTTTCAGTGAAGAAGTTATTCCTAATGTCCAATCTAAACCTCCCCTGGTGCAATGTGAGGCCATTTCCTATTGTCCTATCACTTATTACTTGCGAGAAGAGACCAAACCTCACCTCACTACAACCTCCTTTCAGGTAGTTACAGAGAGCAATAAGGTCTCCCCTCAGCCTCCTCTTCTCCAGACTAAACAGCCCCAGTTCCCTCAGCCGCTCCTCGTAAGACTTGTGCTCCAGACCCTTCACCAGTTTCATTGCCTTTCATTGCCCTTCATTGAACACGCTCCAGCACCTCAACGCCTTTCTTGTAGTGAGGGGCCCAAAACAGCGTTCAAGGTTTGGCCTCGTCAGTGCTGAGTACAAGAGGACAATCCCTTCCCTACTCCTGCTGGCCACACTGTTTCTGAGACAGGCCAGGATGCTGTTGGCCTTCTTGGCCACCTGGGCACACTGCTGCACATTTAAATGCACACGTTTTGTTTCTGCTGATAATAGGACATATTTTCTTAATTCTTGTCCTTCATGGACATGACATCTTTAAAGTGTGAAAAGTATGCAGATGCTTCTTAAACTAAATATAATAGTTCAATATTTCATATTGTAACTTTTTTGCAACTTTTATGTAATGAAGAGTGTGGTAAGTATAGTAGACTTTAATAGTGACCAAGACATTATAATGGAATTACACTGACAATCTTTTCTTCATAAAAGAAATAATTGTTTCAGCTAGCTGTTTATTGACGTTTTAAATCTTACCCCAGTGATCCATAGCTTCTATTAGGCCAGAGATTTTGGAGATGTTCTGTTTATCATGTCAGGCTTGTTGTAGTGGGAGAGAGAGTGCATTTGGAGCTGAAGTACATGTATTAATATATAGTAACTGTCAAAAAATCAGAATATTTCCCTGTTCTGTGCTAGGCAGTTGCTTTTTACATTGCTATTGCATCTTTGACAACTATAGTAGTGTAATGTATGTAATGATAAAAGTGTAGTGATTCATCAGAAAAGAAGGAAAGTAAGGTGGGGAAAGTACTGAGTACGACAAACTGTTTCTAATGTGTGGTAAGATAATGAAAAATTACTACAGTTTACTAATGTTCTTTTTACTGGCATTACAGTGAGAACCACGTGTTCCCTGCAAAGCCATTGCGTGATTCCCAGAGCCACCTTCTTACGGATACACCGTCTTGGTCAGAAACTAGTGCAAAGGCTGAAAAGGGCAAAGTCGGTAAGGAATTGATTTGTGCTGCAATGGTTCATTTTGTAATAAACTAATTTTGGAGGATATAGTGTAAAATTACCAAGGTCACCTGGTTTGTATTCATGAACCGAAATTCATGAAGCTTATCTTAAATCCATGTTTGTAGGAAGTTCTGTGTATCAAGCTGCTGTGCCCTTCCCAGTTAAACCTGACCAAGAGATACTGGGAACACTAACCACCAGTAGGTGCTAATTATCTTTTAGGCTGAGCCTGATAACTCTTTTGTCAACAAATTGGTTATACCAGAATATGATGACACCTTGTTGCAACTGTTGAAAAGCCGTGTAATGGACACAGGGCAGGAATAGACTTGGTAATAGTGGAATGACATTAAGATGGATTGTTAATTAAAGGTTTTATTATTTGCTGAAATAGATGAGAGCTTTTCTTGTGGAAGTACCATTTTTTTGTCTTTAAAGGTATGAGCAATCCTGCATTAACCATGGAAAATGAAACCTAATTTCCCTTAAAAGAAACATCTGAATATGTAAGGAAAGGTATGTTAATATTCTCTGTACTTAATATGTTATTTCATGGTTCCTTACCGCTTGAAGAATGCACAAAAGAAGATTACTAAGGCAATTCCTATCTGTTTTCTTCAATTTTTTTTTTTTTTTTTTTTTTCCATTTCTTAGAAGACTTTTTCAGCGTCATTTTTTTTGCATTTTTTGACATATTTTGTGAGATCTCTCTAGGCCTTTTGTTCCTGTGCATGCAGCCTGTGTTCGATTTTACTGAAGTGTGTGCCATTTAAGTGCTCTCGGTCACTCCTGGCGTGGAAAGCCATCAGAGAACTGCAGTGATTGTTACTAGACCCATCAGGCATGGTATTGCACTGTCAAGACAGACTATAAAAATGGTAGATGTGCAAATACCAACAAGTGGCCTGTAGCTTGTACCAAAAAGGTCCCAAAAGTTCAGTTGGATTCATCAGAGAAACTAAAAAATTCCCAACCCTTACATTCTGGTTTTGTGTTACGTGGTGAATGAAGACACAGTTCCAGATATAGGAACATATACAAACTTGATGATGGTGTGAAGTGTTAAAGTGTTGAAAATGTGAGTGTCAAATGAGCAGAATTGAAGAGATGAGTGAATGAAACTCAGCCGGTGTCTGCAATGTTGACTGCTCTGTGTAGTTTTGGTTTTTTTTTAACAGAATCTAAAAATCTCATTTCTAACCCTTTGTTCAAAATGTAAAATGTCATGTTTCTGCCATGTTTAATCCATCAGTTATTTCAACAAAACAACAGCTTCTGGAAAAGAATTAATTATTCAGCTTCAGTTAGTTTAATGTCTTACATGTCATCACTGCTCAAGAGTAAAGCATTGGAGACAGTCTTTAAAGCTTTGGATTATGTTACAACGGTATCATTAATTGCAACCAGTTCTGTCAGGTTGGAGTTCTACTTTCTGAAGTCCTAACGCTTCTGAACATGAGGAAAAACTTTTTGACTTTGAGGGTGACAGAGCACTGGAACGGGCTGCCCAGGGAGGTTGTGGAGTCTCTTTCTCTGGAGATATTCAAAACCTGCCTGGACGCTGTTGTGTGCGACCTGCTGTAGGTGAGCCTGCTTTAGTACAGGGGTTGGACTAGATGATCTCCAGAGGTCCCTGCCAACCTCTACCATTTTGTGTGATTCTGTGACTTTATTTACTTCAGTAATTACTTTTAGACTTTAATCTTTCTTTGAAAAGTGTGTACATTTTATTGGAACTTTGGCATTCAGATTATTCTGAATATCAAACATGGTCTGTGATTGTTCTCAAGATGCTGAAAGTGGTTTTTTTCAAGCTGTTTAGTTTGATAAACATCTCATGCTCTTTTTTTGATTGTTTTTTTTCTTTCAGTCCTGTCTGAGAAAGTAACAATTAGATTTGCAGTCTGATTACCCCACCCCCTGGGTTTTGGGAGAGTTTGTTTGGGGTTTTTTTTTGTTTGTTTCTCCTTTTTGTGAGCATCCATTTGAAGTGCAGCTTTTAAAAAAGAGACTACGTTCAGAGAAGGTTATGTTCCGAAGACTAAGTGTAAAGCCACGTAAAGGGACTCTTGAAAGTTAGTTTTGCCTCCGACCAATGCATGCGCATCTGAAAAGGGCAGTAGCCAAGGACTGATAATTTCTCTGGCACGAGTGTAAGTGCCAGTTTGGTTGTACCTTGAGGTCTGTGTGAGATATTTCTACATGGCGCTTAAAAGACTTTCTGGAGATGTAACAAAAAAGCTAGATTACTGTCTAGCTATCTATGTATATATACGCATATATACCTTTCTCTGACATACAGTTGCTGAAATAAGAGCCCTCATTCAAAAACAAAACATTTTTGCTTCCCTTTTTTTTTTTTTTTTTTTTCTTTTTTTGGCTTCTTTGAGTTTAACTTCATTCCTTTATTGTCAGTAGTTTGAGTTATATTTGTTCCTGGGGAATGAATAGAGTAATAAAGATGCTGAAGTCACAACAACAAAACCAAGTAATTTAATCTTTGGCATGAAAAATACAGCTGTCAGCCCCTGCCAGTGTGTTAGTAATCTGAATTTCTGTCCCAACTAAGGATATGTTCAATATCCTGTATCCTGCAACCCTTTATAGTTAACCAGAGGACTAATTACTGAGGCTGCCAGATGCAGTTTACACTAATGTAATAGAGAATTGATTTTTAACAATATTGCTACCTGCAAGTACTGTAAAAATAGCTCACTTCATTTTATAAACTGGTGGCCTGCTTGCTGTGTAGTCAGTTCTTAATCACTGTCATCCTGAAGTAACTGATGACAAGACAAGAGGAAATGGCCTCAAGTTGCACGAGGGGAGATTTAGATTGGACATTAGGAAAAATTTCTTTACTGAAACAGGCTGCCCAGGGAGGTGGTAGAGTCACTATCCCTGGGGGTGTTCAGAAGACGTATAGATGTGGTGCCTAGGGACATGGTTAAGCGGTGGGCTTGGTATGTTAGGTTAGTGGTTGGATCTGATGATCTTAAGGGTCTTTTCCAACCAAAATGATTCTGTGATTCTTAGTGGATTAATAATGTAACTGTGAACAGTCTTACTGTGTTCCTTCCTCTTCGCGGTGAGAGTTTCATTCAGCTGTTGTTCACTTTTCCCTTTGAGTTAATGAGACTTGTTGCAGTAACTTAATTTTTAAGTATTCTTCAATTCTAATACTGTGGTTTGTGATTAATGTTCTGTTCCAGTTGAAGAAAAAGCTGTCGTTGGAAGGAAGAGGCATTCTTCCAAGTATCAGCCCTGTTGGCCAGCTGCTCCTGTCTGCTCCTGTGTGGATGTGCTCAGAAAACAAACTGACAGATGATTAGCTGTCTCCATGTCACTGCTTGAAACATGAAACTAAATATACTACTTCTGAACCATATAAAGAATGTTTCAACTTAAAATTACTGGTTTTGAATGGTCAAGGATGATTATGAGTATGAGGGAACGAAAAAAAAAAAAAGGAGTCTGAGTTTACAATTATAAAAAGTCAATGGCTGGGTTTACTTTGATATTCAGCACAAGAAAAATGTGACCTCCTTACATATCAGTCCATGTTCTTGCCTTGGTTTTGAAAACTCACCTGTTAATTCAAATTGCTCTAAGTAGTTGACCTTAAAATCAAACTTTTGCATTATTTGCTTTACGAATTGGGAGAACAGCCAGTGTTGATTATGAATAATTTAGTGGCTTGGTGGACTGTATTTTGAGTGCTTGATAAGCAATTTTTGAAGATAAGGAGACCCAAGTGAAGTGTCTGACTATTTTTGAAACATTTTTGGAAAACATTATTGCAGAAGCTCTGTTTTCCCTCGGATCTGCGCTACCAATAGTTTGAAAAGTTGCAGAGGGGGAAAACAACTCCTTCATTAAGTGAATGCTACAGTGGGTCACTGGTAAGTGGAGCGATAAAAAGCCTGCGTTCAGATGGGTAGTACCTAAATTAAACTGGCTGGCTGGGGGTTTTGATGGGAGCTGCTATGAAATGAGGATTTTATTGTCCCAATTGGAGCCGTTAACCCCTTCAGGAAATGAACGTTGGCACTTCATTTTGATCCAAAAGGCTTTTCACCAAACTGTGTTCCTGAGGGCCACTGTCTTTCCAAATCCTAGTTTCTTATTAATCAATAGTTGTCTCAGATTTCTTTTTTCACTTGTTCTTTAAGACACTGCCTTTCTTACTGCATAACTTAACAAATATCATGTACAATCAGGGAGACTTACTGTTGCTACTTGTGATATTTGCATTTACAGGACAACAGACGTTTGATTGCAATACCAAAAAGCCAAGCTGCTGCACATAGGAAACTCCCTGTAGTTATTAGGAGCTAGCAGCTTGCTTAGGATCAGAGTTTACTGGCCAGATAATAAAAGACGCATTACCAACTTTCAAAGTCAAGGAAGTTTCAGAAAAAAAATACCTAATTGTCTTGTGCCTTTTGTATACACTACATTTACGGTATCAGTGTTTACATTTAAATGCAAATTGTTACTCTGAAAACAACTTTAGGAGGAACTTAGTTATGCATTCTGGGTGGCTCGGTGAAAAGACTAGTCCAAAAAAAGAAAAAGTGAAAACCTCTCAGACTAAGCTCAGTTCAGTTGAAGCAGAAGAGCATTTCTGTTGTCAAACCTGAGTCACTTAGCAGGTTGGTTCACAGTGTAAAGATGCCAATTGTTTGTTTACAAAACTGGCAGCAGGACTAAGTGACAGATTTCTGAAAGCAAAAATCTTATCATTAACTCTTCTACAGGCAGGTAACTTTAAAATTTGTCTTTCCTGGGTTTACAACTACAGCTGTTGGAGCACAAATGTGGCTTTTTTTCTAGCGAGGGAAAATGTATTTATTTTACTTTTTTTTTTTTAAAGTCTCAAAATTTTACCAGCCTGAAAACATCTGTTTCTTGCCAGAAGTGCCAGAGTGTGGATCCCTTGATGTAAAACACCTTTTTTAAACTAGCATGAAGGTAGCATACAGTTTACATGATGCCTGCAGACATCTAGCAACCAAAAGTCTTTTGCAGCTATTTACTGAGTGTTGTTGTATCAGCTTACCTCGTATTAGTGTTTGTTTAAAGGCTAACTTGTCAAGGGATAAGGGGGAGAGGGAAAATATATTTTTTAACACTTCAGGTTCTCTATCTGTATAGTCTTGTTTTTTACGCAGTTCATCACAGGGTGGTTTGTTATGGAGCATGCGTTAGAAAATACTGAGTAAAAAGTTGAAATTCAGCTTCAGTGTAACTTGCTCCATATTTTTACATAAAAAAGACAAAGTAGAGATTTCTTCCCCAGCAAAACTCATAATGGAAGTGGATCTCTCTAATACAGATGTCAGCCTTTCTGACTATGTCCAGGGCTCTGAGGGCTCCTGAAGGCTGGGGATCAATGTAGAGAAAGGACAGGGATAAGGGATCAAGGAATGCCTGACTTCTGCATGTCTCAGAAGTCACGCTTAGAAAGCACAATAGACCTAAATAATCTGTGGCTTTGATGTAGCCGGAGCTGTCCCTCTAGCAGAAAACTGATGGAAACACGGAAAACATACACTGATGAAGGGAGGAGAAGAGGAAAGAGCAGTGCCGGTAGCTCAGAGGTAGAAGTTCAGCAGATCTCAGCCAGAGGGCTGTAGCTACATCTGCTCTCAGGATGGGTATGAGCTGTGCCTCTGTGAAGAGCGCTGTCAGCAGGCTCTTGAGGGGTCCTGCCTGGCAGTTTTCACTGCAAAGAGTATGGACAAAAGTGAGCTGATCATGCTCCAAAGTATAATTTGTGAAATGGCTATATTCTTGGCTTTAAGCTCTCTAATATTTTATATTAGCAAAGTGAAAATGGTCTTTTTGATGTACTGTCATCAAGCATCAATGCTGTTACAATGCACGTGGGAGAATTTGTGAAGAGGTGAGGGGAGCAGGGATGCAATGTTGTTTGTCCGCTTACACTGATTCTCCTGTTCTTTATATTCTTGCTAGGCACTTTACTACAGCCTTTTGTGTAATTTCTGTATTTTTTTTAAAGACTGCTTTTTACCTACTGTACAGTTACTAATCTACTTTTTTGCTAAAAAGAAAATAATAGCCCTGATATTTGTCTAGCAGTATGACTGCATTTCAAGCTTCAGTAGAACTTGAACGAGTTCTACAGACTCCTCAGATGGGCCTGAGTCCCTAATGACAACAGAGTTAGATTTATTTTGTATATATGTACACAGGCATATGAATTGTAGCACCCCACATGCGTAAGAAGCTTCCTTAATTTGTAGGTTAGAACAAATCCATGTCTGCACCAGAAGTGGTCTGCACCTATTCTATGTCAGTTGATGTACTGGTGATGGAGTGCTCAAAGTCTTCACAGAGAACTATTTTTATTAAGAAGATGGAGCGCCTAGATGTTGGTGAGCTCCTCCCACTGAGCAATTAGACACAGCAGCCACTATGCACTTTAATTCTTTGACTTGAGAGAAAAAACACTGTCCAGTTTAAGTTGCAGATTGAAAGTTCTTTAGCAGCCTACCACTGCTAATTATTTTTACCTGTTTGTGTACTTAAAATCAGGGTCTTCAAGCAAGACTTCAGAAAGGTTGCAGGAAGCAAGTCTGGTTTCGTGCATGGAATGCTGTAGCTGTTGTTAGTCAGTACTTGGACTGAGAGTTCTTGCCCTGATTCAGTTGACTGGTGAGCTGGAGTGGGGGTGGGAATATATTTAGTGTATAACTTGTTAATGTATTGCTCACATAAATAAATGCTTCATGTTCAGCAAGCCATGTACGTAGTAGTCACTGACACACTACCTTCAGTTTTACTGAGAGTGTACCTGGGCAGCAGAACATCGTCTCTGCTATGGCTTCATTAACAACATAGGTGCTGTAACTGGCCCCCC